AACTCCTATACTCAAAAATCTGAGCAATAAAGGCAAGTGTGATAAATGCCTTCTTAACTGCCCTAACTATATGTGATGCAAACTTCAAAGAATTATGCACCTGAACCCCTAGGTCTCTCTGTTCGACTGCACTACCCAAGGCTCTATTTTTAATTGTATAAGTCCCATCCTTGTTTGTTTTACCAAAATGCAATACCTTGCATTTATTCAAATTAAACTCCATCTGCCATCCTTGAGCCCTCTGACGCAATTGATCAAGATCTGTTTGTAATTTTAGATAACCTTCTTCATTGTCCACTATACCACCAACTTACTAACCATGTTGTCTACGTTTTCATCTAAATCGTTTGTATAAATTACAACAAAAGTGGACTCAGTCCCGATCCCTGGGAACACCGCTGGTTAAAGCCTCCAAACAAAAAAAATCTTCCACCATCACTAGCATGGACCAATTGGGCCAAATGGCCTGTTTACTATTCTATATGGATTTAAATTGCTGAATTTTCACAATCACAGCAAGGACCTGCTATGGGTGCAGTTGAAAACAAGAATGGTTAACTGTAATGATTAATTGTGAGGAAGAATAATTTACTGTCGCTGTGCCTGCTTTCCCAGTTTCCTTTTTAGTTGATTGGTGTGAGAGCTGTGTTAATATACTTTAAGAAATACCTTTCACATTTTCCTCATGATCTACTTTGTTCCAGCAGACATTAAACATTAGTTTCTGCATCACAGAGCACAGTTTCTGACATTATTAAACTTTATGTGTTACAGGCAGGAATCAAGATTTCTAGCCATTATCCAGCTTGATTTGCATTTATAATAACAGTCTTTAGCAACGTGTATACACTAAGTCTCAGTTCTTTTCTGTGCACTGAGAGCAGGAGCAACGTTTCAATAGCACCAATTTTTATGTTGCTAATTGGAGTAAGCTCACCACCAACTCTAGTGTGCTGGGGTAGTGTACAGTTGAGAAAGAGGCCATTCAGCCCATCAAACCTGCTCAACCCTCCAAAGTGCATCCCACCCAGCCTCAGTGCCCTACCCTGTCTCCATAACCTTGCATTTACCATGGCTAATCCTGGACACTACGGATAATTTAGCATGGCCAATCCACCAAAGCTGCAACAACAAAAACAGAAATTACTGGAAAAGCTCAGCAGGTCTGGCTGCCTCTGTGGGGAGAAATCAGAGTCAACGTTTCGGGTCGAGTGACCCTTCTTTAGAACACCTAACCTGCATATTTTTGGAATGTGGGATGAGGCCAGAGCACCTGGAGGAAACCCACACAGACACAGGGAGAACATGCAAACTCCACACAAACAGTCACCAAAGACTAAAATTTGAACCCGGGTCTGATTTTGTGTCACAACGACTAACATTGTTTTGCTCCAGTGGTCATAATCTTTTCAGTATCACAGCACACTTCAGTGAAACAGCCAATTCCGAAGCACACCCACTTTTTGTAGCTGAATTGATTGCTCATAAACATCACTTTTACTTGCATTTTACTACAGTTACAGGCTCACCAGGGAGGTGTGCAACATAGCGCATACATCAAGCTAAAGAAGGATCAAGTGCATGAATGATTCACATTTCATAACAACACATTTCAAACTATGCTCAACTCAACTACTGCTGATTAATCATGGCTCTAACTCGGTTCTACACATTGCATTGAACCGATACATCATTGAAAGTCAATGGATCAGAGCAAAATGCAAAGTAAATTGCAACTTACTGAGTGAGTGGGAAGCCAGGGTCTGTCTGTGTGCTCATAGCCTTATGATCTGACGACCGGGCCAACTGCAAATCCTGTTGCACTCACAGCACTCCCTTCAGTCATTACCTTGTTTTGTCTTGTTTCAAGATTGTTTTAAGTTGTTTAAGTTGAAACATAGAATGTTCTCACCGTTGTACAAAATGCCACGACACACTTGGCCAGTTCTCACCAGTGTACCACTGTCGTTCAGTTCGAAAACCATTCCTTTGTTCGATGGCTACCATCACTGTCATCCACTGTTGGCCATTCTGCTACAGTGACCAAGCTTCTTCTGGGGGGTCTTTAGCTCAGTTGGCTGGACAGCTGGTGTGCAATGTAGAGTAACACCAACAGTGTCAGTTCAATTCCTGTACCAGCTGAGGTTACCATAAAGAGGTCTCCTTCTCAACCTCTCCCCTCACTTGAGGCATGATAACCCTCAGTAAAACCTGTCATCTCTGTCTAACAAGACAGTAGTCCTGTGGTCCAGTAAGCCTATGGCAACTTGTTATCATCTTATGAGCAAGCTTTCTCCAACAGTTACCAGCTCTCCCACTCACTATCATCCCCTTCCCCTTGTCACAGCTAGTTCCCATATTTGTTGTTCTGTTCTGTCAGTGACTCCTAATGCCATGCAGTTTCCCAAGTGCCTAACTGTCAGTCTGTCCTGTACTCCATGTGTCTCCTGCTTTTGCCAACTTTCTACCATCACTACATCAGCAAGCTATCACTGCGCTTTCTGGCTGCTGTGCTATCACCATGGTAATGGGAACATCATTATTGCTCCTGTCACTCTGATATCTCATGCTCACTGCACTGACCTCCTGTCACGGTTCATTCTGATTGTTGTCGCTGTGCTGTCTGAGTTCCTGCTGACCATCAATCTCTGCTCCACCTGACACTTTCTTCAGCAATTCATTGCCAAGGGGAAATCTTTCCTGGCTCAACGTTCCAACCACCCCCTATCCCCTCCAAAAGATGTTGCATCTTATTGAGTGATCCCATCTTCTTTACGAAGTAGTTGTCTTTTGTTGAGTAGAGACTCACCAATCCCAGGCCCTGATTTTTGCACCCAGGTCAGGAGTACAAAGACAGGACGTTCGCTGGTTCCCACAAACCCTGCCTGGAAAAAAAAACTGGCCGAGCAGGGTGGATTTTCAATTGAGGTTGTGCACATCTACTTTTAACAATCTTGAACAAAGCTGAACTTCCCCAAAGGACTACCTTACCTTTCCCAAAAGGCACCTTCCCTTTCCTGAAAATGCCCCAGGTTGAGATCTAAAAGGGTGCTGTACCCTTTCAAGGAGATATCCTGGATATTCAAGAAAATGTACAAATATCAGCATGTCTCTTTGCACAAGTCAGGTTCCATACCAAAGGGATGCCAAAATGCGATTTTGTCTGAGACAGATGATCATTTAACTGGCCAACAGCCACCTCGGGCCATCTGTGCATATACCCCCTGTCTCCAATCCACCCCGTGGAAGTAGGAAGTGTTGTGCTCAGTGGCAGGACTTAGAATCACCATTTTTGGCACCATGTCTCCATTGTGGTCAAAATTCAGTACGCTGTGTACTTGTCTGGGTTACTGCATGTGGCATGTACGTAGGATATAGGCAACTGCACTGTGGAGAAATCAATGTTTGAAATCTGCTTTCACAGCAGTGTCACTTATAAGGAAAATGCCTTTTGAGGTGTAGTGACTAATATGATGAAGGAAAGGCGGCAGCCAATTTGCATACAAAAAGTTCCACCATAGACAAGATAATGAGGATCAGACTGACCGCCATTTTCTCCCATCAACCCTTGTACTGGTGATAGAGCTATTAGCACTACTCCCTCCTCAAATTCACTTCCTAAAACCGTTACGTAGGTCATGAGTTGTACCTTACCTGGAGCTTTATGACTGATTCTGGGCGTCACACTTTAGGGAGAGATATCAAGGCCTTGTGAAGATGCAGAGAAGAGTTAGAACATAGAACATAGAACATTACAGCACTGTACAGGCCCTTCAGCCCACAGTGTTGTACCGACCTATTATCCTACTCTAGTTCCCAGGATGATATGAGGATTGAGGGACTTCTGTTATGAAAGAGGTGAGGAGAGCTAGGATTATCCTCCTTGGAGGAGAAAAGGTCATGTGGAGATATTTTATTTATTCCTGGGATGAGGGCATTGCTGGCTAGTCCAGCATTTATTGCCCATCCCAAAAGGCAGTTATCAGTCAACCATATTGCTGTGGGTCTGGAGTCACATGGAGGCCAAACCCCAGATAAGGATGGTAGTTTCTCTCCCTAAAGGACAACTGTGAACCAGATGGGTTTTTCCAACAATCAACAATAGATTCATGGTCATCATTAGACTGTTAATTCCAGATTTTTTAATTGAATTAAAATTTCACCATCTGCCATTGTGGGATTCAAACTACTCTCCCTCGTAAAGAAAAATACCTTTCAAGAGGGTCAGCCACCAGAGAGAACAAACTTAAGAACATTGGGAAAAAAAAAATCAGAAGGGTGATTTATTTTAAACAGCGAGTTGTTAAAATCTGGTGTAGACTAAGCAGAAGAGTAAGGGAGAAAAATTCAGCAATAAATCTCATCAAAGGAATTGGGTATATATTTGAAAGGGAGAATAAATGAAAGGCTGGGGGCAAACAGCAAGTGAGTAGAACTAGTTTGGCACAGTGGGCAAGATGGCCTTCTCAGTTCATTCTATGATAAACTTTACTATGAGGCAACATGGTGGCTCAGTGGCTCGCACTGCTGCCTCACAGCACCAGAGACCTGGGTTCGATTCCACCCTCTGTCTGCAGTTTTTAGTTTGCACATTCTCTCCGTGTCTGTTGGGTTTCCTCCCACACTCCAAAGATGTGCAGGTTAGGGTGGATTGGCCATGGGAAATTACCCCATAGTGTTCAGGGATGTGCAAGTTAGGTGAGTTAGCCATAGGGAATGCAGGGTTACCGAGATAGGGTAGGGGTGTGGGTCTGAGTGGACTAAATGGCCTACTTCCACACTGCAGGCATTACATAACTTTAGTATGTATCACTTCAGTTTCAAAAGATTCTTGAAAACAGATCAACCCAGCTGCACATTAAGTTGTCCCTTTCTAATTTGTTCATGCTGCTTGTTCATTGTACAATAGTTTGGAACCTTTAATTGCATTGAACACTATGTCCATATACTTTTATGATCAACTGACATTGTTTTCTGTCTCCCTATGAATGTTTTCTTAGCTGGGGATGTACAAAGAAGAATTATTTAAACACATCAGCTAGTGATGTAATCGATTGGTAAGTACTTCTGTGAAGAATTGAGCTAATTGAGCTTGAGCCAGAGATAGTAAGAACTGCCAATGCTGGAGTCAGAGGTAACGCAGTGTGGAGCTGGAGGAACACAGCAGGCCAGGCAGCATTAGAGGAGCAGGAAAGCTGACATTTCGGGTCAGGACTCTTCTTCAGAAAATGGGTATCCCTAGAAGCCGCTTCGCAGTGGGATTATAACTCACTTAGAGCTTGAGCCAGTTTTCTTTCGGAGTGGTAGGAGACAGCGATAAAACCTGGCACATTTCTGATACGGAAAGTCTAGGAGGCTTAATCTCCAGTGACATCTTATAACCACAGAAAACTTAGCATGTTTACCAAATAAAAACACAAAGAACTGCAGATGTTCTAAATCAGGAACAAAAACATAAGTTGCTGGAAAAGCTCAGCAAGTCTGGTAGCATCTGGGAAGAAAAATCAGAGTTAACGTTTTGGGTCCTGTGACACCTCCTCTGAACTGATAGTAGCTGGGAAAATGTTGGTTTATATGCAGAAGATAGCATAGGGAAGGGGTTAAGGAGTAAATGATAGGATAAAGGATAAAGCCCAAAGAGAGAGAAGAGCAGTTGGATAGACAAAGGAGTTGATAACAATCTGACTAGGCAGGTGGATGGCTGTTACTGGGGACTGTTAGTGAGTAACAACAGAGGTGGTGTAATGGCAGGCTATGTGATAACAAGGCCTGGTGTGTGGGGTTGGGGTTTAGGACATGGGAGAGTTTAGGCACTAAAATTATTGAACTCGATATTGAGTCCAGAGGACTGCACGGTCCCCAAGTGGAAAATGAAATGTTGTTCTTCCAGCTTGCATTGAGCTTTGTTTGAACACTGCAGCAAGCCTGAGACAGAGATGTTGGCCAGGGAACAGGGTGGTGTGTTAAAGTGGCAGGCAGCTGGAGCTCAGGGTCCTTTTTGTGAGCAGGACGTAGATGTTCTGTGAAGTGGTCATCCGGTCTATGCTTTGTTTCCCCAACGTAAAGGAGACCACATTGTGAGCAGTAAATACAGTAGACTAGATTGTGGGAAGTGCAGGTAAAGTGCTGCTTCACCTGGAAGGTATGTTTGGGCCCTTGGATACTGGGGAGGGAGGAGGTAAATGGGCAGGTGTTACACTTTCGCCGGTTACATGGGAAGGTGCCGTAGGGCTGTGGGGGGGTGTTGGGAGTGAAGGAAATGTGTCCCGGAGGGAACGGTCCCTGTGGAACGTGGACAAGGGAGGGGAGGGGAATATGTGTCTGGTGATGGCATCTTGCTGGAGGTGGCAGAAATGGCGTCTGATGATCGTCTGGATGTGGATGGTGGTGGGATGGTAGGTGAGGATAAGGGGAACCCTACTGCTGTTGCGGGAGGGAAGAGAAGGGGTGAGGGCGGAAGTGCGGGAGATGGGTAGGATCTGGTTGAGGGCCCTGTTGACAACGGAGCTGGGGAATCCTCGGTTGAGGAAGAAGGTGTACATTTTGGAAGCTCCCTTGTCGAAGTTGGCCTCATTGGAACATATGCGACAGAGATGGAGGAACTGGGAGAATGGGATGGAGTCTTTGCAGGAAGCAGGGTACAAGGACATACAGTCCAGGTAGCTGTGGGAGTCAGTGGGTTTATAGCGGATATTATTGGCCAGTCCATCCTCAGATGTGGAAATAGGGAATTCGAGGAAGGAAGAGAGGAGTCAGAGATAGTTCAGGTGAAAGTGAGGGCAGGGTGGAAATTGGAAACAAAATCAATGCAGGCTTGTTGCAGTGTTCCAGCGAAGCTCAGCGCAAGCTGGAAGAAACATAAATAAAGAACAATCCACATTCTCTCACAAATGTGTATCACAATGAGAGGAAGCCCACAAATTATATACACTGTGCAAAAAAATTATTTAGTACACTTTTTAGTATGGGAATGAAAAGAATGCTTCTCCAAACATGAAGCATTGCTCAGCGTAGGACTGAATAAGTTGTAGTGTCTTGTTGGAACTTGAAGCTTGAAAAATGCAGATATCCAAAGTCTAAAATGTTGGGAAATGTTCTGGGGAAGGATGAGGCAGGTCAGATGGAGAGAACACAGGATTAATGAGGAAGTTCTGACAATGGTGGGGGAAGAAAGAATGAGAGAGTATCATAACAAAACAATTACAAGGTTGAATTGATCATATTCCAAGGCATGAGAACATCCTGAAGGAATATTTATGGGATATAGATCAAGATGAAAAGAAGCGAATGGCAAAACTAAACAAATTGCAGTTGAAAATGAATGGTTCCTACAAACAAGTTAAGAAAAAAGTTCAGGACTGCACAGTGTAGAGAAATATAAATAAAGAACAAGAGTAGACCATTCGGCCCTTCAAGCCTGCTCCTCCATTCAATAAAATCATGGCTGATCTTATTTTAACCACAACTCAACATTCCTACACATCCCCTGACAGTCTTTCATCCCCTTGGTAATCAAGAATCTATCTACCTCTGCCTTTAAAATACTTAAACATTCTGCATCCACTGCTTTTTGAGGAAAAGAATTCAAAAGACCTGCAAATCCTCATCTCTGTTTTAAGTGGACAAACCCTTATTTTTAAACAATGATTCCTAGGTCTTGGTTATCAAACATCCTCCAACATTCATTCAGTCAAGTCCGCAAAGGATCTTATATGTGTCAATAAAGTCACCTCTGACTCTTCTGTAATCTAAAGGATACAGGTCCAGCCTCTCCTCATAAGGCAATCCACTGAGTGTAAGTATTAATCTGGTAAACCTTCTCTGAACTTCTTTCCTTAAGTTAATGACTATTGCTCCCTCTTGGTGTGGATAGCTCAGGTGGCAAAAGAGTGGCAAAGGGATTGGCTGTTACTTTTCTTTGCCCTCACACACCAGAAGCCAAGACTTCAGATTGTTTTCCTGATCCTAAATGCAAAGAGTTATTTTACCTCATTCTGGGAGGAGAGATAAAATACATGTGCAGCAAATGGTCTAAATAATTCAGTTTGCTCCACATTTGTAAGGATTTCAGTATAACTTTAGTTTTAGCCCTAAAACACCAACTGATTCAGATTTGGAGGCTCCCCATAGAATTGACATCCTCCCCCACCTACACACATAAAATGTACCACATAATCTCAGCAAGGCTCATTGAACAGCTCCTTAAAGCTGCAACATCTACCACCTAAAAGGACAGGGCTGAAGGTGAATGGAAACACCACCACCTTCAAGTTTCCCTCCAAGTCACACACCATTCTGACTTGGAACTAGATCTACTGTTCCTTCCCTTTCGCTGGGTCAACATCCTGGAACTCTCCCTAACAGCACTGTGATGTGTCTGTACCTTATAGACTGCAGTGGCTCAAGAAGGCAGCTCACCACCACCTTCTCAGGGCCGTTTAGGATTGAGCAGTAATACTGATCTTGTCAGTGAATCCACATTCAAAGAACATATTTAAAAAGTCTATTAAGCCTCTTAAAAGTGAAATGTAATGTTTCTGAATGACTAGCTGAGTGTAATTCAGATATTTAAAGGTAAAGTCAATTGTGCTTGGTACTTTTGCTATTTACAGGGGTTCCATATTCTGGGTCAACAGGACGCTGTCGCTGTGGGGAATTCAGGTGAGTGATAAAATACAGTCAAAGAAAAGATTCTGTCCCTTTTCTGTCTACACTAAAAAAGAAAGGCATCTTTGCGTGAGCACTGGCTCCAGCCATGCTTTTGACTGTCCTTATTCTGTTTGTCTAAAGTGGTTGGTTTCTGGGAGTAGACGGTTTTGATGTAATCAGCAGCTTTGCTAAAATTCTGCATTCATCTTCAAAAGCTCCTGAGCCGCCCTCAAAATATATCAAACAGAGGTTACTGCGAATCTTCTTATGTGTTGTTTGCAAACGCTTTGCTATGCAGGACTGCAATTTGGCATCAAATGTTAGCATAGAATAATGCCGTTTGTCTGAGTGAACCTGGGCAGCGGCAGTTTGTCTGAATCATATTGGCCTGTAAACCCCTGCTTCCCAAGGGCATGTCTGCCTCTCTACTGAAGGAGGAGGCAGACAATAACTGTTTGTAATGGGATCACAGATTTCTCTTAACAGGGACAAAAACTGTTAATTAAGCTGTGCTTAAAAATAATTCAGTGAAGGGCTACTTGGGTCAAATATGAGCACCATAAAATGAGAGGTTCAGCCCAAATGTAAATCGTCAACTGAAACTTTTCAGAGGTCTGAGCCGCTACATAAAAAAAAAACAAAGGCATATTGCAGCAATGTTCAAAATGGCACTAAGTTCTTCTGGTATTTTTCATTGAATAAGCAGTGGTGTCAGTATCACAACTTCGTTCACTCACATTGATTCCACCATTAAGTCTCTTGGTCAGGTTCACAATGAGTGGAGGAGCAGAGTAACTTATACCACAACTTGTTCATTTCCACATTTAATTGCACAAGTGGGCACTCTGTGGAAGTTGCTGTCTCCGTTATTGTAATGACAATGATTACTGCAATACTGACTGTTATTGTTTATGTAAAAGTGGTCATTATAGGACATTGTTAGCCTTGACAATTAGTATCTTTATCACCACTCCCCCCAACCCAATACACAGTGTGCAGCATTATGCATTGGACAGACTCCACTGCAATTTTTAAAATGTTATAGCATGCTATGTGCAAGGAAATCTGAACATTGCTTCTTGGAACAGACCTAGGGTGTAACTACGAGATAACAAGGTGTAGAGCTGGATTAACGCAGCAGGCCAAGCAGCATCACAGGAGTAGGAAGGCTGATGTTTCGGGCCTAGAACCTTCTTCAGAAACTACTTTGAATTTAACTCAAACATTCACATGGATGCAAAGTAGATCATTGCAATTATATTGTGCAATTAAGAAAAATGAAATAGTCCTTAAAAGTGGCATTTGTATTGAATTTTGTTACTCTCATCTCCCTAGGTTACAGTGGCCTTAATTAGTTTCTTGGAAACCATGCTCCTCACATACCTAAGCTACAAGGTAAGTAATCATTGATTAACGTGTAGAAATTAGACCCTCAATGAAAGATAAACTATTCTACACCAACTTCTAATGAAACATTAATGGTCTTAGTTTGTTATTTTTTTGCTTATTGATTCTTCGCAATGTTGAGAGTTTGAATGGAAATTTACCTTTGTTAGTGGATTTGGGAGTCCCTAATCCATTCTTCAGCTCTCTAGAACTGAAACATTACTGAGAAACATAGTGTCAGTCTGGCATGGTGCTACATGTTTTCCAAGGTTACAATGTCCCTTTTGTAATATGGTGACCAGGACTCTCCATAGTCCCCCATGAGGGCTAAATGAGATGATGAGGCTGCAGTGGATGATAAAATCTAATTTTCTTAGCATTAAAAGTGGTAACTTTCATTTTTTCTGCCTTGGCATGCATTGAAACTAGATACCAAGAAGAAAAAAAATCACGGAAGAATAAATAGCACCAAATTGCATTTGCTCATTCTATCATCCAAACTTGATATTTTGAGATGCAGATTTTTTTTTTCTCAAGAACGAGGAAGCACAAAAATGACCACATTATTGTAAAAAGACACCTTGTTGCTGAGCATACGTCCTGGCTGAAGGGGGCGATGATAAGCATCTGCATAAGGGATACCAACAAAGGGAAGTGGCAGTGTAGTGACTCTGGCACTGGACTAGCAATCCCAGGCCAACGATCCGGGGATATGGGTTCAAATGCCACCACAGCAGATCGTGGTATTTGACTTCAATAACAGTCTGGAATGGTCTAATGGTGAATATTGTCAATTGTTGTTAAAAACCCATACGGTTCACAAATGCTCTTTGGGGAAGGAAATCAGGGGCCCCTGCCCAGCTGGCCTACATGTGACTGTAGACCCACAGCAAAGTGGTCGACTCTTAATGGACCTCTTGGTGATAAACGTTGGTCTGGCCAGAGATGCTCGAGTCCTGCGGACAAAGAAAAGGAAAAGCTGCTGCAGTAGTGAAGCGAGCCTGCCTTTCTTGTAGCCTCACACATTAACAAATGTGTCACATCTCAGAATGAATTACGCTCTGTTGTTCGTGTAGTACATCTGATTCTCCAAACAAAACAGTCGTTCAATTTGAAGAGAACCCTGAGGATTAGTGTCGTTCATTTGTACCAAAGACCCGAAAGAACTGCGAATGCTGGAAATCTGAAACAAAAAACAGAAATTGCTGGAAAATCTCAGCAGTTGTGGCAGCATCTGTGGAGAGAAATCAGAGAAATCGTTTTGGGTTCGGTGCCTCTTCATCAGTACTGTGTTTCATTTGTACTGTATGTCGGTGTTTCACCATCAAATAGACCCAAATCAATAATTGTACCTACTATTAAGTGCTTATAGTATGAAAGCAGTCCAGCAACTCTACGTCAGTGTTTGTGCTTCACATGAGCCTCCTAAAACACTCCTTTATCTGATCTTCTCTAAATATCCTCTTTTTTCATTATTCCTAAGCATGCTTCACCTTAACTACATCATTTTGTTGATTATCTAAAGAGCAAATGGATACGAAGAGCCAATTGTTTGTCATTTGTGTCATTTAATTAAAGGTTTTTAGAGATCAATGCAGAGTTTAACTTTAAATAGCTCTTAATTAGAGAGAAAAGATATAATAAATGGATGCAACGATTCAAATCTCCTGTGCTCTCAGTTGAATAACATGTTTTGAAACTGTGTTAACCTGCTTTCCAAAAACCTATATTGAAAACAGAGGGAAGTAGTTTTGGCCACAATGTTATAGCCCTTGTGATGATGCATTTTGCATTACACTGGCAGTTTTGAATTATAAATTTAAACTATCTCAGTTCGAATTGCTTGCAGCAATCTTGGTACCAAGAGTGGTGCAATGTCCTGGCAATAAAATTAAAACAGTCCAGTTAGTGATTGAGAAATGAATCAATGATAGGGCAAAGTCATTGACTCTGCAGTCCCAATGGGGACATTTAGATAAAGTACATGTTGGAAAACCAGCACAGCAGCGTTGCAAAACCACATCAGAGAGATTACCTTTGCCTGAAATGACTTACTGAATTTCAAATGCTAAATAACAAGTTGTGATGTTCCATGTTGCCTGATGTCACATTAATCTTTACAGGGGAACATCTGGGAACAGATTTTCCGAATAACATTTATCCTTGAAATGATCAACACTGTTCCTTTCATCATTACAGTAAGTCATCACAAAATATTTACCGCTGGTTTTTCAAGTTGCACTCAATTTTTGACCCTGCTACTGTAATGTTTGAGAACGGCAGCTGTTAAATAATTACTATTACAGAAACTTCGTTGAATTTTTCTTCTTCATATTAGCACAGTCTTAATGCAAACAACTCTGGACATGCAGTGCAAATGTTTCACCAATTCAGTGATCGTTTGCATTAAGTTGGAAATCTCACTCAAGGCCAGACTAAATTACTGGTGCAGGGAGCAGGAAGAGTACCTGCTCTTCGTTAACAACAGGTTCTCAGGACTGGGGTAGAATAGGGCTTTCACTCTACACCTGACTCTGCTTGACCAAGGGCTGCAGATTTTGAGATGCAAAATGGAAATAGCTCATTGCTAAATGCCAATATCCTTCGTTAAATTTGATATTTGAAAGTTTAAAAGACTAATTATATTTCACTAATTACATTAATTTTACGATTTTATCACAGTTTTTGTCCTGATTTTCCAAGTAAAATGTGTTCGCAGAGGCAGGATTGAGGGTGAATGTTGAGTTCCTGACCTTGCCCTAATATCATAGGGATAGTACCATCATGATACTATCGCCATTTGTGTCAGTCAGCCCTCAACTGGTAGAACTCTTGGTCAAGTTTTTGGGTGGCAGAGGGAGTGCATGAAAGATGCCATCTTTCAGTAACCTTAAACCAATGCTTCATCAACCTCCTCGGGTGAAAATAAAGAAATCCTTGGCACTAATTTGAAGAGGAGAGGGGTTATCCCCAGATGTTTGGACAAAATCTAACCCTCAACTAACAGTATGACTAAAAACAGATGACCTGATCATTGCCACATGGCTGTTTATGGGAGCTTGCTGTGCGTAAATTGACTGCTCAGTTTCCTACATTCCCAACAGTTAGTACATTGTGGCTGAGAAGAGCTTTGAAATGCCCGTGGTCATGAAAGACACTGTATTGAAAAGCTGTGATTTCTTTCGAGAGTTATCACCCAATTCAATTCCAGGGGCAATCAGGTGTGTTTGAGGATGGCTGTTCCTACTTTCAATTTAAAATATTAGAGATCATGATATGTATTACACGTCCTTATGATTAATTAAGTGTATGATATTGTGTTATTTGCAAACACCTAATATATAACCCACAGAAACACATACTAGCAGCTAATTTGTCAATTGATCAAGCCCCATCAAATTTTGCTTTTCAGCAATGACTGTTTTCAGAAATATAAGAACAAAAGAGATATTAGTATATGTAAACCATTCTGCTCCTAGAGCCTTCTTCACATTGAGTAAAATCATGGCTGTTCTGATCATGACCTTCAGTCTGCTTTTATGACTGCACTCCAAAACCCTTGGCTCCCTTGTAACTGAAAAATCGATCTAACAATGTTTGGATCATGACATCTCCCCAGTGTTAATATTCCTTTCACGTCCCCTGATAATGACTTGCAGCTCCTCATTGATTAGTCAGTGTAATCCTTTCGATGGAACCAGTTGCCGAAACCTTCGAACATTCTTGTGCACATATATCTTTCCCAACTCACTAATGTTGTACGCCTTTGTAGAGAAAGTTATTTTTAAATTTTTAACTTTTGTGGCAACTCCAGGAGTAGCAGGGTTTGATTTCTAGCATGCTATCAGAATGAAGTGTGACAACTCTTCAAGTACTATGTAGATGAATCATCAGTAAACCTATTACATTCTTTGCAAGTCTTTCTCATTTATGTCACACTAAATTTGTATAGTAAGTGTTTCCTGCAGCTGATGCTGTTTATATTGCAGACCAGTTTCTATTCTTCAATTTAACTTGCATATCTTGGCTTTTATTTATACTGAGATTAAAAACCATATGTTTAGCGGCATTAGGCAAGTGAATGGATGGAATCATTCCTCTATCTAGCTGTTAGCAATTTTTTTAAAGGTGCTCTACCATGCCAACACACATCTTGAAGTCTGCATTGGAAAGAGTTTTTCAAGGATTTGGTACCCTGGGCGTGCTTGGAGACTTCAGTGTATGTGAATTGGCTGTGTGCTTGAGACAAGTATTTGTGTTACCCACTCAGAATCCCAATCCAGTCATTATCCCTGTATGACCCTGATTCTTTGATATTGTAATTAGGGGCTTTTATGTCCAGTCATACACAGTAATTGTGCTTACGGTGGCGTGGTGGCTTGGTGGTTAGTACTGCTACCTCACAGTGCCAGGGACCTGGGTTCAATTCCACCCTTGGGACACTGTGTGGAGTTTGCACATTCTCCCCATAACTGCATGGGTTTCCTCCCACAGTCCAAAGATATGCAGGTTAGGTGGATTGGCCATGCTAAATTGCCCCTAGTGTCCAGGGATGTGTAGATTAGGAGGGGTATGGGTCAGTGTGGGATACTCTGAGGGTCGGTGTGAACCTGTTGGGCCAAAGGGCCTATTTCTACACTGTAGGGGATTCTATGATCTTCTTAATTCCCAGCTATTTTTTAACCATCTGTTATTGGGTTGTGAATGTTTCTGAAAAGGCCAGGATTTATTATCCGTTCATCATTGCCCTTGAGAAGGTGAGGATATGGTGAACCATTGCTGTCCATGTGGTGAAGGTGCTCTCACAATGCTGTTAGGGAGAGAGTTACTCTGGCAATGAAGCACCAACAATATATTTCCAAGTCAGGATAATGCATGACTTGGAGGGGAATTTATAGATGATGGGTTGGGGTTAAGTTTAGCAGAAAGCATTTGGAATATATTTATCATTTTTCGTTTTGCTGCTGTATAAATCTATCGAGTTCAAAAATAGGTTGTTTCAATACTTTTTTTAATTAAAATACAGTTTAGATAGTTACTCAAGTTGCCTTTCTTGGAAAAATTGGCTTGGAAGAGCTACTAGATTGAGACAGCAGACTTTTGTAACACATGTTGATAAGCCCCTGATCACTTGCGTTTCCACTGGGAATGTTAATTCAGTGTCTTAAAGTAGCGGGCTGCCTGTCCCTATCATATCTGGGACGTGTCATGGAAAGGCTGCACGTCCTATCATAAATGCAAGACAATGGAAATATAATTGCATCACAAACCTATAATTCTGCCAATCATGTTTCAATGTCTTTGAAGACTACACTTTCCTTTCAAATAACCTAAACATTGTCATAGACTCAATGGGCCAAAGGACTTTTTCTGTGCTGTTGACCTCGATGAACTCCATTGCCTGCCATTAAAGGATTTTTTTTGTGATGTGTGTGTTATTTATATATTAATTGTGCTTAATATATAATGCAGGTGTGGGTATTAATTAGGTTTTTTTGCTTGAGCACATCAAGAGACACTTATTGAAACTGCGCTGTGGTTGAGTTTGGAGATATATGCTCATATCATCTCACACTGTAAGTAAATGTTGGCAGAGTAAATATTAGCTCCAGCATAACCCTTCAGCGACTCACTTTCTAGAATAGATTCCACCCCGGGGTGATTGTCTGTGTGGAGTTTGCACATTCTCCCCGTGTCTGTGTGGGTTTCCTCCGGGTGCTCCAGTTTCCTCCTACAATCCAAAGATGTGGAGGTTAGGGTGGATTGGCCATGGGAAATTGCCCTATAGTGTCCAGGGATGTGCAGGCAAGGCAGATTAGCCTTGGGAAATGCAGGGTTATAGAATGGGGTCGGGGCTTGGGTCTGGGTGGGTTCTTCGGAGGGTTGGTGTTCACTCAATGGGCCGAATGGCCTGCCTCCACAATGTAGGAAAGCTATCATTTTATGATTCTAATAGAGCTGTTAGGTATGTGATGGCTCATCTGTTTTGAGGAAAACCCTGCATTTTACCTTGGAGTAATGGTCCCTTCAAGAAATATCTTTCTTGAGGAGGTGATTTCTAGTAATGCCTTTTGTTTCCAATAGCCAATCATTTGATTGATTTGCCTCAGAGACAAACAATAGGAAAAGGGTTGATAAAATGGTAATTACAGGGGGAGTATATTGTAGGAATGACTAGTCTCGAGCAGAGTTTTAGCTTTAGTTGAGATCACATTTGCTGCAGGAATCATTGCTTTCAAGCTGAATCGAGTTGAACTGTGTGTTTGCGAAAAGGATGCAAAATCCTCAATAACTGACTTACTCTACTAAAATTGAGTTGAACTTCTGGCACAGCCCAGCTGTGAAGAGAGAGAGTTTTAAATGCAAGTTTCTGGAGTTAAGGAACATTAGTACGAGGAGAGTTCTGACTCACTAATGATTAAGCTTAAGGCACTAGTGATGCCTGTGTCTGTAATAGGATTTGACAGCTAGAGGACAATTGGAGGAAATTGAAAGGAAGTAACCTTTCAGACCAAGTGCTAATCTCCAAATTTCCATTAAGTATCTTACTTAAGTTTATTGAAAATGTAAGTCAAAAGGAAATAGTGGGAAAGGTCAGTTAAGTTTGGATCAAAGCATGACTTAGCTGTGCTCATTGAATTTTCAACCTCTTTTTACAGCTGACAGTATTATTTTTATTAATGTTCTTTGATTTTTGTGTCGTTAAATGTCTTTCATTTAAAGCGTGAACCTTGTGGCTTCGTTCTTTTAGTAAATACTTGGGTTTAGAGATTTTAGAATGATGTTACGGGTTTCTACCTAAATCATAAATGACACCAAAGATTAAGGCCATGATATGTGGAGGTGCTGGCGTTGGACAAGGTCAGAAATCACACAACGCCAGGTCACAGTCCAACAGGTTTATTTGAAATCACAAGCTTTGGGAGCGCTGCCCCTTCGTCAGGTGAAGTGTGCAGAAACTTGAAGTCTGTGTCGATATGCACGATCTGCCTGGAGATCCTCTGCACTTTGAGCCAGCTGTTGATGGTGTCAGTGGTAGCCATGATGTGGAGGGGCTGGTGTTTGACTGGGGTGGAGAAGGTCAGAAGTCATACGACACCAGGTCACTTCATCTGGTGAAGGGGCAGCGCTCCAAAAGCTTGTGATTTCAAATAAACCTGTTGGACAATAACTTGGTGTCGTGTGACTTCTGACCTTGACCAAAGATTAAAGTTAAAGTTAATTTTCCAGTTAACTGAAACGTTGAATGTAATATATAATTCACCATTTACTGCTTTATCCACTTTTGTTTAACATCAGTGATTCCGTTATCCTGATCTCTTCTGGATCCATTACTCCCTGAGTGGATCACGTTCCACTGATTATAATCTCACTGCAACATCTCACTCACATAGTCTTTACAGATGTTGGAGCATTAATAGGGAGTTTTATGTGGTTTTTAACTGTGCTGGATGTCACAACATTGTCTAAGTATGAGCACACTGCACACAATTGTTCTCTGACTCTGGCCTTTGCACATTTTTCACTTCCCCTTTACCCTACCATTGGTGGCAGAACTTTTGGCTCTCTTGGTTGAAACTTCCAGATCCCCTTCTTAAATCTGCCCATCTCTGCTCTTGCCTCTGATTCCTTTAAAAAGCCTACCAATTGATCCAGTTTCTCGGGAACCCCCACCTCAACCCTAACTTCTCCCTTTGTGGTCTGTTTTTTCATGTGTGAAATGCCTTGAGATATTGCTTGTAAGTGAAAGGCGCTAGTTAAATTAAACTTGTTTTCTTGCTATCCACTTGTACTTTCCTTCTGAGTGAGTCCATTCCCTTTGTCCCCACTACAGATTTTCTGGCCACCCCTGAGGAACCTCTTCATCCCAGTCTTTCTAAACTGCTGGCTGGCCAAGCATGTGTTGGAGAACATGATAGTAAGTGACACTGAATCGATTTTTCTGAATTCTACTTCCTTCCAAGGACTGCATTTACATTTTCGAATCGCAAGGTAAACCCAGGATTACATTTTTGAAGGATGTTCACCAGAAAAACATGGTGTCAGGAACAACTTCAGGATTGCAAAGTTTGCATCACCAAATCTTAAAAAAAAACTTCAAATAAAAAAAAAGACGTTGGTCATACACAACATTCAAAAAGCAGAAAGTCTGGCCAAAAGTTTGGGAGTAGGCGTTTCATTAGAATCCACCTCCAGCCCTGTATTTGTGGTTTCTCTTTCCTGATGAACATATAATTGTTGGAAATGACACAAGTTGACCCTGGTACAGAAAGGATATTATTAAGCTGGAGAGGGTTCAGAACGGATTTGCCAGGATGTTGCTGGGTATGGAAGGTTTGAGTTATAAAGAAAGGTTGGATAGGCTGGGACTGTTTTTACTGGGGCCTAGAAGGTTGAGAGGTGACCTTATAGTGGTTGAGAAAATCAAGAGGGGTATAGATAGAATAAATGGTAGGATGTTGGATTTCAAGACTAGGGGGCAGAATTTACCGTGAGAGGAGAGAGATTTAAAAAAGGCATGAGGGGCAATTTTTTTACACAGCGTGTGGTTCACTTGTGGAATGAACTTCCTGAGGAAGTGGTGGATGTGGACACAGGCACAGTGTTTAAAAGACACTTTGATAAATACATGAGTAGGAAAGGGTTGGAGGGATATGGCCAGGAGCAGGCAGATGGGACTAGTTTAGTTTGGGATTATGTTCAGCATGGTCTGGTTGGACTGAAGGGTCTCTTTCCATGCTGGATGACTTTATGACTCTATAATAAGCACTGTTCAAAGGATCAAGATTGGTTTGCCTAAGCAGAGGGCGGGGGTCCTGGGATTGGCAGGAGGAGAGTGAGGACATAAACAATTTGATCACAGACATGGAAGGCTAATTTGTAGTCAATTACATCTTGTAATGAAAGCCCTTTCAGATTAGCTATCTAACTACTGATGAATATCAGGGAGATAATGAGTCATAAATACCTAGGCAACTTCATATCCTAAAGTGGGAACAGAGCTGTATACATGATACTGGCTATTATATTTCTTCTGTCCAACTGTTGTCACTTGCTAATCTTTCCCTTTCTCGAAACTGTAGCTTGATAGCAAGTCATCTTCATGAGAATCCATTAATTTCTGAAGCAATACGACAGAGCAGAGATTATCAACATTTTAAACATATCTAAAGAAGGCCATGAGATTGAAAAACATAAGTTTCTTAGTGGACTTGATGAGAGAGATGTAGAGGGGTTGTGGGACAGTCAAAGTATATGATCACAGAGTAAGGGCAGTTAGGACAGAAAAGAAGGGGAATTTCCTCTCTTGCAGGGCAGTGAATCTGTGGAATACTGTACCATAGAGTACTGTTGAGGCTGGGTTGTTAAGTCTATTCAATGCTGAGATGGACAGATTTTTAACCAGCAAGACAATCAAGGGTTGTAGGGGAAGGCAGGAAAGTAGAGTTGAGGATTATCAGATTAGCCATGGCTGAACAGACTAAATGGGCCAAATGGCCTACTTCTGATCCTATGTTTTATTCCTTTTCCATCACTTATGTCCAAAGCAGCTTGTGGTGACTCTATGTCAGGTATAACCACTTCAGCTTGGAGGGGAGGAAGAAGTGAGGAGTGGCGTTCTACAGAATTTTACAAAGTATTATAAGTTTCACTAATCAAAGGCAGGTTGAGAAATCACTGGCCCATGAACCTCAAGGGCAGGCTGCCACTGTACTGCAGCTCTGAGGGAGTGCTGCAGTGTTGGAGTTGGTTCATAATCCAGAAATCTCATCATTAACTAAAGGCAGGTGCACCTAGAGGCACCTTCACTCAAAGCCTGGATCCCCAATGTTTCCTGGCACAGCATCAAGTGCCATAAGGTCACAGTTATACTGATTGCGGTGTGTAAGAACCTCAGGGTTGATTAGTAAAGGTTGTAGGCCGTCACTTTAAAGCAAAACAATGAAGTCACTTCTCAGGAGGAAGATTATTATTTACATTTTGAAAAATACAGCTCCTGGGAGCTGGCTAAAACTTATTCACTAGTGGATAACAATTTCTCGTTTGTGTTTGCAATTTCTAACAGAAGTTTCTTTCTCTCTAGAATGACTTGCATAGAGCCATTCAGAGGACGCAGTCTGCTATGTTTAACCAAGTCTTAATATTGATTTGTACGCTACTCTGTCTTGTGTTTACTGGGTGAGTTCTTTATAAATCATTTAAGTATTGGATACACTTTTAGATATATTAATTCCTGAGATTTCCTTCTCATTACGCCTGCTGTCATAGATGTTGATAGTACTTAAAGGGGACTACTAAAGTCTTACCAATTCCTCTAACACTTCGAATAACCAAATGCAGCAATTCCTGCTCCATGGTACTTCCACCAGTGGCGGCACTCTAAGGTGAGTGTTGTGGCTCTTCCTGCAAAATTCTCCAGTTGCAATCAGCTCCACTCAAAGACATTGCACTGATCGTTCTGAGTGCCAAAACAACCAATAAAATGGCAAGAAAAAAACCCCAAAGAGCTGTGGGGTGGTGGAAATCAGAAGCAAAAACAGAATTTGCTGGAAAAACTCAACTGGTCTGGCATCATTTGTGGAGAGAGAAAGCAGAGTTAACATTTCAGGCCCAGTGGTCCTTCTTCAAAATGGCTACCAGCACATAGACACAGACACAGCCATTGATGTCAGCTGGCCATGATATGCTCCATGCGTGCACTGCTAACATCACCACGTTCCATGTGCAGTGATGTCAGCACCAGCACACAATTAGACTGCCCCACCTTTCTTTTACGTTGATCTTTGTGAGAGGCAGCAGCTCAAAGAGACATCATTTTACTGACTTGTCCACGAGCAATTCCATGGGAGATTCACTCAGAAATTGTATGCGTTTTGAGGGCTGTTCTGGCACAGAAGTAGTGGCCCTGCCTCTGAGATGGAGGCTTCAGGTTCACGTCTTACCTGCAAAGTGAGAGAGTCATAGAACCCCTACAGTGCAGAAACAGGCCGTTTGGTTCATCAAGTCTGCATCGACTCTTCCAAGAGCATCCCACCCAAACCCAGACCCCGACCCAATCCCAAACTTATCATTTATCATGTCATAACATTCCTGAAAAGATTGATGGAAAAAAAAATCTGTTGTGCATATATATATTAGCTGTGGACCCCTGAAACTGAACTGCAGGCAACATAGCTTTCAGGGATTTTCATTTATTAAGTAATGGAGGATATTATTCCTATGAAACAGTCATTGTCAACCATTTAATTCCAGCTCTGTGCTTAATAGAATTATTTTAGCGCTGCGAGTATATTTATTCGTTGCGATTTGTATGTGAAGAGTTTGCTGATTGCTTTTTGTTAAATAAAAGAACAGTACGATGTGAAATGTTTGAATAAAAACAACACTGGCAGATTGCTCATGTAGTGAGCCATTGTATTGCCTGATGAGATATTAGGAAGCAAAGGTCCTGGGTTTGCCATCACAGACAGAAGGGGCTGAATGGCCTCTTTCTGCACAGTGACAATTCTGTGATTCTGTTTCACTTTTCACCTGTGCTGAGTTATTGTGTGTGTCATTGGTAACATGTAAGTTTCTGATTAGTTTGAGTCTTAGGGATAAGAAACGCTACCATTCTTTCTCCTGATTTGTGTCCATTGCCCTTTCCCACCCTGTGTGGATGTCAGATAAGGATGACATTTTAGTAAAAGAGGAAAATGCTGGAAATGTTCACCGTTTTTGGCAGCATTGAGTCATTGTGGCACTGACGGAGACAATTCTGCCCTTGAGTGCATGCTGGCTCTCTATAGAACAGTTCAGTCTGTCTCATTGCCCCTGCTCTGTCCGAGGAGCCCTGTGAGTTTATTTCTCTCAAGTCACCATCCAGTTTCATTTTGAAATCATTAATCATCTCCTGTTCTGCTAACCTTGTAGACAGTGAGAGTCAGGTAATTATCACTGCATTGAAAATTTTCTTCGTCAGATTCCCAAGCTCCCCACCCAGCCCCTCCCCCACCCCCTCCATACTTTTTGCTCAAAATCTTACATTAGTGTCTTCCTTGTCCTTGGATCATGGGAGCTTGTTTTCTTTATTGACTTTATCTAAAATTGCCATGATCCTCTGTCAAGGAGAACAACCCCAATTTGTCTAAGAGAACATTTTTGCTGAAATACCTCGTCCCTGAATCCATTGTGGGGATCTTTTTTCTGCATAAGGCAGTTAGTATCTGAGAGGATCAACTGATATCACAAGACAAGAGTTATGAGTTGTCCCTGGGAGCAATGAGAAAAGTTACAGAGAGTTCTCCATCTGTTCTCTAAGAGTTGTGTGGTGTGTCCTGACCAGATCTTCAATGATTGCTTTTAGTGTTAACAGCATGTAGCTATAGCAGTAATGTGTATGTTCAGCCTGATGTCTGACAATTGACAATCACTTATCTTAGATGTAATGTACTAGTTACTCTATGATTGTAACAAACATATTTACTGTGTCATCAAGACTGAGCCTATCATAGGGTGGCACAGTGGTTAGTACCGCTGCTTCACAGCACTAGGAACCCAGGTTCGATTCCAGTTTCGGGCAATTGTCTGTGTGGAGTTTGCACATTCTCCTTGTGTCTGCGTGGGTTTCCTTCCACAGCCCAAAGATGTGCAGGTTAAGTAGATTGGCCATGCTAAATTGCCTATAGTATCCATTGATGTGCAGGCTTGATGGAATAACCTTGGGAAATACAGGGTTTCAGTGATGGAGTGGGTCTGGGTGGAATGCTCTTCAGAGGGTCAGTGTGGACTCGATGGGCCAAATGGCCTGCTCCCACACTGTAGGCATTCTATGATTCTGCCAAATATATTGTGTGGGTGTCTTTCGTCACTTGGTATCAGAACTCGACATACCAGGAGGAAGAAATGTTGCCAGCAAATCTACCCTTTTTAAACAGGATTATATGATTTCTCTGCACCCTGTCCAAGATCCTCATGCCCATCCTTCCTAAAGTATGGCAACCAGAACTGGACATAATACTCTAGCAGTGGCCTAACCAGCATCTGCGGTGAGAGATACAGAGTCAGCATTTCAGGTCAGTGACTTTTGATCAGAGCTCTTCCAAGGATAGGTGATTGACCTGAGTCATTAGCTGTGTTTTTCTCTCTCCCCAAATGCAGCCAGTACGTCCAGAATTCTCTGTCTTATTTCAAATGCCCAGCATCTACAGTATTTTGCTTTAATGAAAATATCATTGGACTTGGTGGCAATACCTTGCAATACCCTCCATCAATGTCAGCAAAATGAAGGAGCTGATCAGTGACTTCAGGAAGCTGATTGGAGGGCACACATCATTAGTGCTGAGGTGGAGATGTTAAGAGTGTCAAATTCCCGGGAACAATGATCACCAACAATTTGTCTTGGTCCATCCACGTTAACAATATGTTCAAGAAAGCACAATGCCTCTACTTCCTCAGGAGGCTAAGAAAATTTGGCATGTCCATAAAGACTCTTACCAATTTTTAAAGTTGCATCAGAGAAAGCATCCTATCTAGGTGCATAACAGTGTGGTATGGCAACAAGAAAGTACAGGCAGTTGTGAATACATCCCAGTCCATCGCGCAAACCAGCCTCCCATCCATTGACTCCATCTATACTTCTTTAGGAAGAGCAACCAACATAATCAAAGATCCCTCCCACCCCGGTTATACTCTCTTCCACCTTCTTCCATTGGGCAGAAGATATGAAAGTTTGTATACACATATAAACAGATTCAAGAATAGCTTCTTCCCCACTGTTATCAGACTTTTGAATGGACTTCTTAAATGAAATTGTTGATTTCTCTCTACACCTTCTTGGCAGTTGTAACCAGCATACCACAGCTTCAAGAGGGTTGGGGGGCAGAGGTGAGGGTAGTGGTCATCATTAAGAGAAGGTGCTGGGGAAGCTGAAAGGTCTGAAGGTGGATAAATGCTGCTGGTGATGCAAAGTACCTAATCAGTTCCTCCACCATTTCTTTATTCTCCATTTTTCCCAGGATAGGGGAATCGAAAACTAGAGGGCATCGGCTTAAGGTGAGAGGGGAAAGATTCAAAAGGTACCTGAGGGGCAACTTCTTCACACTGAGAGTGGTTCATATACAGAATGAGCTGCCAGAGGAAGTGGTAGACACAGGTAGAGTTACAACATTTAAAAGGCATTTGGAATAGGAAAGGATGAGAGGGATATGGGCCAAATGCAGGTGAGTGGGACGAGTTTAGTGCAAACTTTGTCGGCATGGAAGAGTTTGACCAAAGGGTCTGTTTCCACGCTGTATCGCTCTATGGCTCTATACTGCTTCTCCGGCCTTATTTTCCAATGTCCACCCTTGCTTCTCTCTTACTTTTTAGGTATCTAAAAAGCACTTGCAATCTTCTTTTACATTAGTAGTTCATTTAATTTCGAATTTCATTTTCTCCTCACTAACATCCCACCTCCACTACTGCTTTTTTCAATTATCCTCTGCTGGTTTTTAAAGGCTTCCCAATCCTCTGGCTTCCCACTAATGTTCACCACATTGTATGCTTTTCCTTTTGCTTTTATGTTGTCTCTGATTTCCCTTTTCAGTCATGGTTGCTTCATCTTCCCCTTAGTATGTTTCTTCTTCCTTGGAATGAATTTCTGCTGCACCTTCCAAATTACTCCCAGGACCTTCTGCTCCATCATCTTCCCTGCTAGACTTCCCTTCCAAACAACTCTGGCCAGCTCCTCCCTCATGCCTTTTTAGTTATCTTTACTCAGTGGGATACCGTTACCTCTGATTCCAACTTCTCCCTCTCAAACTGCAGAATGAATTCTACCATATTATGGTAACTGGCCCCTATGGGGTTCCTTCATCTTAATGTTGCTAATTGGTGGATGAATGACCCAGACCAGATGGACTACACCCCAGAGTTCTGAAGGAATAGCTGAGGCGATTGTAGAAGCATTGGTGGTGATCTTTCAGGAATCACTGGAGTCAGGCAGGGTCCCAAAGGACAGGAAAATGGCTACTATAACACCCCTGTTTATAAAGGGAGGGAGGCAGAGGACAGGAAACTATAGGCTGATTATCCTGACCTTACAGAAACATACAGAATACTGAGAGACTTGGATAGAGTGCATGTGGAGAAGATGTTTCCAAAATGTAGGAGAGAATAGGACCTGAGGACACAGCCTCAGAGTGAAGGGAAGACCCTTC